CTGTCTCTGGTGAATCCTCTTACCCTCCCCATTTCTGGCCTGTACCCCAGTTCTGTATGAATAAATAAATAAATCTTTAAAAAAAAATGAAAATCAACAAACAACTATAAACCAGAGACATTCTATGGGGATGGAGAGGGAAAAAGGATCAAAACTGGGACAAGAAGAGCACATGGGACTATGGCGATGGCCCATGGAATTGGTGGTGGGAAGTCCATGGGAATTACAACCGAGATGAAAAATGCACAAAATGAAGAATGATATAAAAAAAAAAAAAAGATGGCTAAGCATCTAAACATGTTTAAGATACAGTAAGTATAAACTATGGTATTAAGGGAAAATTACATTAAAATCAACAACTTTTGCTCATCAAAAGCCACCATAAAGGGAAAAAAACAGAGCAGATGTCATTAACCTATATAATGACAATAGACTAATAGCCAGAATATCTGCATAAAGACAAATGACCCATTTTTTTTTAAAAGGGCAAAAGACATAAAAGACTTTTAAAAAATTATAATCATACACTTACGAAAGTATGAAACTTAAAGATGTTTAGCCTCATTATAATTAAGTGCAAATCAAGAAATTGACAAATGATCTGCTAATCTTAACACATCTTAAATACTGATGGTGGAAGGATAAGCTCATAGAGCCATTTAGAAAACACACTACTCTTATTTATAAATGTAAGCACTATATACCTACAGAACAGCATTCCATTCCTATATATATATCATCTCTAGAGAAACCTTTGCACACATGTACAAAAATATCAACAGAAAATGAAGCAAAAAGCTGTGATACATTAACACATGAGAATATTATACTACAGCAAAAGTGAATGAATAGCTACTTATGATACAAAGGTTAGAAACAAAATTAAATTTAAAAAAGCATATCTCCATGATGAGACTCCACTTTACATTTGGAAGGCAATAATCAAGATGACAGATTGTGTTGGTGAGGATGTAGAGTGATGGGAATCTTTATATATTTCTGTGAGAATATAAATGGTACTGCTGCTTTTTCAAACAGACTGGCAGTATCTCTAAAGATTAAACATGTGATGGTTAATTTTATGAATGAACCTGGTTAGACTATAATGTCCACTTGTTTACTTGTCTCATGTTGCTGTGAAGATGTTTTGTAGATGTATTAACAATCGAGTGAATTTAAGTAAAGGAGGTTATCTTCAATAATGGGTTGGACCTCATCCAATCAGTTGGAGGCCTTCAGAGAAAAATCTGATTTCCTAGAAAAGAAAGGATTCTGCCTTGAAATTGTAACAGAAACCCTGGGCGAATTTCCTGTCTGCCAACCTGTTTTACAATTTTAGACTCCAGACAGTAACTTCAACTTGTCTGCCTTCCCAGCTTACTGAGCCGCCTGATCCAATAATTCCACAAAAAATGTATATGCTAACACTAATAGCATTATTCTCAATAGCCAATGGGAGACACAATCCAACTGTCGATTACCTGATGAGTGGAGAGACAATGTGACATATCTTTACAATGGAATATTTTTCACTCATAAAAAATAGGAATGAAGTATTGATACATATTACCACATGGATGACTTTGAAAATACTATGTATGTCAAAGATGTCAGCCACAAGACCACATACTATATAAATCCAAAACTGGTAAATCTATAGAGACAGAATACAGGTTAGCAATTGCCTATGGTTAGAAAGTAAAAATGGGGAGTAAATACTAATAGATACAGGTTCCTTTTTTATGGTAATGAAAATGCCCCATAGTTGATTCATATGGGGACTCTCCCTGGTGGTGCAAAAGGTTAATGACAGCACAGCACTATGAAGCTATCCATAGCCACCCTACCATGAGTTTAATCTCTAACCATGGAGGTGACTAACATGGCGTGGCAGGCCTCTCCTGTCCTGCCTGCTGCTCCCCTCAACAGTGTATTTCAGTCAATATGCCTATTCTGTTCCCCACTCTGTCTCTGGTGGGTGCTCTCATCCCCTGCACCTCTGGCCTGTACCCCAGTTCTTATATACATAAATAAATAAATCTTAAAAAAATTATTTTTGTATGGTTGCATAATTCTTTGCAAAAACTATTACTTGAAATTGGTTATTTTGTATATACTCTAGCTCATTAAAGATATTATTTTTAAAGCCCCAGAAAACTACATTAAAATATGATTTCATTTTATTAAATATAAAACACATAAAGTAATATGTTTGTATAGAAATGTATAAGTATGTGATGACTTGTTTAGACAAGAGAATGAAGCTACTGGAGACGACAGGTGGGGGTAGGATGGGAAGGAACACAACCCAGATCCAAGCTAAAACTTTCCAGGTTTTAGATTAGGCAGTATGTTCACTGGTATTCATTATATTATTAATCTTTTACATCTTACAAATATGTTATATTCTCTTATGAATACAAATACAATGAAAGACAAAGGAAAAATAAAGCTTTTGAAAAATCAATATACTTAGGACATAAAATATTTAAGCAAATGTATACTTACTTATTCATATATTTTTACAAAAAAGACTGACTGGAATTTACTAGAAATTAATACAAATGGATCCCTCTAGAGGACGGAAGGGATGAAGTAGAGGAACAGGTGAAAGGAGGACTTCTCTGAGTTTACCTTTTAATAAAGTTTTGAAAATTTAAATGTTTTACCTATTCAAATTAAATAACATAATGAAAAAGAACATTTCAAAATAAGGTAATATGGAATGTTGGTTAAAATTAATCACCAAGGTTCACAGAGAGCTATCCACATTTTAAGAGCAAAGATTACATTTATTTAAAAAAAGAAAAAGGTACCAGCTCAATCCACGAGTTTACACTGACAGTGACAGGATCAATGGATTCTACGTAATGCCACCAGTGTCTGGGAACAAAGAGGACCTGCCACCAAATAAAAGATGGTTAGCATAGGTACAGGACATTTCATTTTTCTGTCAGAGTCACACCTTATTAGAAAGTCACACCTCTCAAAGAAAAGGAATATAAATAAATTTGTAGTAGTATTAGCGTATGAAAGAGAAACAAGAACAACCCAGTCATTTCTTTCATTGATTTTTTAAATTTTAATTGATCATTTTATTGCTGTAAAATTGGTATAAAACCTGATTATTGTTTGGGATTATAGGTCCCATCTCTTCAAATTTATGTTACCACATAACATCCACTGCCAAAGCACCAAGAACCCTCCTTTTGTCTACTGGAACCCCTCCACCTTTTGCTGCCCTCCTTCGCTGGTAACCTCAGCTCTGCAGTCAGATTCTAAGAGTCTGGTTTGGTTTGGGCTTATCTGTTCCTTTGCTTTGTTTCTTTACATTCTGCATGAATGAAATCATCCAGTATTTGTCTTTCTCCTTCTGATTTATTTCACTTGCATAATCCCTTCCAGTTTCACCTATATTGTCACAAAAGGCAAGATTTTACCTCATATATACTTATTATTTTTGATATTCATTTTATATATATATATATATATATATACATACCACTTCTTAATTCAACTCATGTGTTACTGGATACATAAGCTGTTCCCATAACTCAGCTATCAGAAATAGTGCTGCAGTAAAACATAGGAATGCAGATACATCTTTAGTATTTTATATAGATACCTAGGACTAGAACAAATGGATCATGTGGTAAATCTTGAATATTGTGAGGGACCTCCACATGGCTGGACCAGTCTACAATCTCTAACAGTATGCCAGGGTTCCTCTTCCTCCACACTCTTGCCAGAACTTGTTTCTGGTCTTATTGACATGGGCCAGTCTCACCAGTGTGAGCTGATGTTTCATTGTTGTTTTGATTTGCACTTCCCTGATGATAAGTGATGGTGCATTTTTTCATGTGCCTGACAGCCATCTGTATGACTTCTTTGGTGAGGTGTCTATTTAACTCTTCTGCCCAATTTCTGATTGGGTTGTATTCCTGTTGTTGCATTGTATGAGTTTTTTGTAGATCCTGGATATATTAGCTGGCTATAGTTTTGTTTCTTCTCTTCCAAGTTGGCTTTACATAGCATTTTCAAAACTATCCTGGATAGTAATGGTGAGAATAAAGTCATACTTTTTTTTACTGACAAGTCCTCATGTCCTACAAAACCTTTCCCAACATTTGTAGATATTACCAGCTTTCCCAGTCTCTCTTCTCCTTAATCCTGAACCTTCTCCGTCTGCAATAAAATCTTAAGAAAAGTTTGTAAAATTCTAATTTTCTCTCCTTTTCAGCAGAAAAAAAGTTTATGCATTTTGAGAAAGGGCATGGGACATAGTTTCTATCTTCATAGTCTAAAATCTAGCCTATCCCAAAGTAATGGGCAAAAGGTGACATTATGTAAATGTCAGATTTATATCAGTACAGTGGCTATTGAGGCCAGAGAACCTTAGAGGTGGGAGAATGGTCATGAACCATGGTTGTCAAGAGCAAACTGGATGGAGGAAATGTGGTTTGAGCAGTACTAGAAACACAAGGCACAGGCAATGTAGGTGGGATTATTCAGGAACCGCTAGGAGGTCTGTTTACCACTACAGAAGGAGTAATGGGAAAAAGGTGGGAAAATGATGAGGATATGGCTGGGACCTAAATTCAAAGGAAAGAATCTGGATTTTATTCCAACAGAACTGCATTAGAAGTTACTGCGAAAGTTTGAGTAGACAGTGGTTAAAATAGTAACACTGGGGCCCTCCCTGGTGGTGCAATGGGTTAGGATGCAGCACCATAAGCAAGCAGCAGCTGCTTCAGTGCAAGTTCAATCCCCAGCCCTGGAAGTGAACCACATGGCGTGGCAGACCTCTCCTGACCTGCCTGCCTCTCCCCTCAGCAGTGTACTTCATCGATCTCTCTGTTCAGCTCCCCAGGCTCTGGCGAATCCTCTCACCACCCCTGCACCTCTGGCTTGTACCCCAGTTCTGTATGTGTAAATAAATAAATCTTTAAAACAAAATAGTAACATTGTGGGAGAATCTGGGAAGGATAGAAATTTCTTGCAATGGTCCACTTCATAAATGAAAACAAAACAGAAATGTAGAATAACAGAAGCAATAGGCAGAGACACTCAGGACTGCATTTATCTCAGTGTGAAACTTCCTAAAGAAGCCTGGAGTTGATGCTATGCACAAGGTTAACCTACAAGATAGAAAGAGCATTCCTCTTAGGAGAACTGAGAGCTGAACTTAGTCCATAGGAGGTCACGCATGCCTTATCACAGAATATACTTTCAGCAAAGTAGTAAAACAGAGCCTTTAAGTTTATGGTAGATTAGGGGATAAGCAGAATGTCAAGAAAACTGACACTGTTGAACCACTCGCTCAAAAGTGGCTATTAAAACAGAAGAATTTCATAACCACTAGAAGGCTACCAAATTATAATGATAATAATAAGAAAAGAAAATAACTAGTGTTGGTGAGGATGTGAAAACAATTGCTGGTAGGAATGTAAAGTGGTATAGTTGTTGTGGAAAACAGTTTGTGAGTTCCTCAGAAAGGTAAAACTAATTACCATATGACCAGCAATTCCACTTTTAGTACCCTAGAAAACTGAAAACGTTCATACAAAACTTTAACAGAAATGCTCACAGCAGCAGAATGTTCATAATAGCCAAAATCTATAAATAACCCAAGTGCCCATCAACTGATCAACTGACAAAATTAAACCCATACAATGGCATATTTTCAGTCATAAGGAATGTAGCACTGAGAACATTTTACTGCATGAGTGTACTTGAACACATGTCGTGTGAAAGAAGCCAGCCACAATGAGTGACAATATAGCGGTACTTCTGTGAGATGGCCAGAGCGGATAATCCAGAGAGAAAGAAAACTGTGATTTCTTTCAGGCCAAAGAGGGAAATGGGAAAGGACAGCAATATGACGGTGAAATCAAAGTGCTGGAGCTGTAGTACTGGAGAGTGAGGGCCAATGAGAGGGAAGCAACAGAAGGAAAACAGGCAGGAAGGAGGGATACAAGGGAGAATATGAAAACCTTTCATGCTAGTCAAACATTGGACAGCAAATGCCTGTTCTGCAAAGGTGATTCTCTCCACTAGGCAGCAGCACTAAGCACAGTACCTTTGGAAATATTTCTGAGACAGTTACAAAAGCAACATTTCTTCTTGCTTCAAGGTGAATCATCCTTCATTCATTTAGCTTCAGCTGACCCACTACAGGGATGAACGCCAAGCCTGCGTTTATTTATGTAGGTTCTAGTTGAACAGACAGTAATTGTAAACATGGGCTCCAGAAGTGATCAGGTAGCCATGCCTTGGCACTTTGTCTTAACCTGAAAAATGACACTGGGAACAGCGGTTCCTCCACTGCCTGCTCCCCTCTTTACCAGTAGGTGGAGCTCTGTTCCTTCCTCCCATTTCCTTCGCAGGACCTGTGAGCAGAGGTTTATGTGCCTGAAGCCAGTAGCTGGAGAAACTTCTCCCAATAGAACAACAGGGAAGGATACCACTCTCATTTGTGTTGGGGCTGAGGAAGAACAAGTTATAAGGACTTGAGTGAAGGTATAGGTGAGGAACCCAGCAACAGCTCGTCAATGTTGTAAAGACCCCGTTACCTGTCCTGGGTACAGTGTGACAGTATGTCTTCGGGCTTTCCGGAATTGAGGAAAACGTTTTAAATCAGGATTGGCAACATTAACTTTACTGAACACACTGGATTCTTCATAAGGGATTCTAGTTGGGTAAAGGAGAGGAGTATCCTCAGGAGGAAAGAGATGCCATCTTTTCCTAATTAAAAAAAAACAAAACAGATACAAGTTAATGATCTCAACTTAAGACAAAACAGGTAAGAAGGCAATGCTAAGTATTCCTTTTACTCATTTCATTCAGTCCCTAAAAGGAGTACAGCGGCATCCCAGTGGCCACCTGTCCCATCTCTTACTCAGTGCTAGAATCTTCTGCAGACACCGGTGGAGGCAGGACAGGGACTAGCGGATCTCATCATGCCCAGGGCAGCCCACAATCACGGAACATGATCTAATATATAAAGTCTTTCTTAACTCAGAACATATCCCTCATTTCAGAGCTACCCAAAATAACCACCACCCTCTTGTGTTTCTGTTGACTTGAAAGAGTAGAGAATAAGCACTATTTGTCTGGCCTAAGACTCTCAGGCTCCACCCTGCCTTTCCAGCTTAATCCCCTGGTCTCCAAGGCGTAGCTCTCACTGGACAATTCACAGGTTCCTCTATCCACCTCAGGCTTTCCCAGGACTCTGCCTCTCCCATCTGTGTCTTTTGAATACTTCCCCTTTCTTCAAAGCACAACTGGCTTGTTACCTGAAATCGTCCCTGATCTTTCCCACACGAATGTTACTTCAGCTTTTCAGCCCCACAGGCCTGTGAAGCCCTCCTCAAGAGCAGGTCTATTCTGCTTTATATTAGAGTTCTCTGTGAGTTTGTGTGCACCCACCCCTCTTAGAGCAGGTAGGTGTCTTTACTCACTTACCTTTATTCCTAGTGTAACACATACCTGTACAGGAGAATACTCAATGGATATTTACTAGTTGCTTTATTATTTCCAGAGTCAGTTATGAAGTCAGAAAAAGGTTCTATTACAGAGTAACCATAAAGCTACATTAATTTTGTTTCCTAGAAAGTACATAGGTATCCTTGTAATGTATTTCGCTGGAATTTCTTTAGCTTGTTTTCCAATTCAGAACACATGGAAAGTAATACTTAAAATGAAGCCCTCTCTTACCCAGTTTAAGGTTCAAATAATAAACTCTACCAGGGCAGGGCCAATGCACGCTTGGTTCACTAGTTCATCCAGTGTCTCGAAATGTACCTGAGATGGCCTAAGTAAGGCTCTTTAATAAAGACTTGGAGTCAACTTAGAAAATTAAGGTGTCAACTACCTCATACCACCTTATAGTTTTCTAAGCTCTTTGCATATGAATTTGATTCACATGTGGTTATTCCCTTTTTCTCTTGTATCCCCAGTCATTTTTGTGTGCTTTTGAAGAGTCTAGCAGCCTGCAACATAGCCAGTGCTGCTTTTCCCTCTGAGCTGCCCTTGTGAGAATCCTAAATGGCTAGGGGGAAGTAAGGGAAAATAAGGCTACACAACAACATTCTAATTATATTCAAGTGGCAGAAACATTTACACGCAACTCCTGGGATTAGGAACTATCTCAAAAATATTACCTGACTCCACACTTACAGGTAAGAAATTTTAGGACACAGATGGAAAAAAAAGAACACTGTGTCTACAGGTAGACACAAACTAAAGTCTAACGAAAGGGCCATAAGTACCATGTAGTCCAGTAATTCTCACAGTCTCCCTGGATGTTCCCCAGGGGGCTGAGGAGAGTAGCAACGTTGCTTCCTTTCAGCAAACTACTCTGCTCTTATTTACTTGGGTTTGTGGGAATGGTATTTGTTTTTAAATAAAAGCTTGCATGACAAACCCTTATATTAAAGAGCTCAGCAGAGAGCTGACTATCTGAACTGGGAGTAGAATACTACCATGTGAGGACCAGATTTCTGAAGGCCGTAGCGATAATGCTCAGCGACCAACAAGGAGACAACCTACTAAACTGTTCCCCTCTCAATGCTGGACACCAGAAACCTGTGTGATGTTAGGAACCAATGTTACTGCAATAAAACCAATTTAGATGATACACAAACAGTCCCTCTTACTTTACAAAGGGGAAAACTCAACCAGAGGTTAAGAGACCTCTGTGGTCAGGAGGCAGGATGGAGCAGAGACCAAACCTTGGAGTCCCGCCTCTATCGGATACTCCTGTAGGAGTGTGTGTGTGCACAAACGCACGTGCACACGCGCACACACACACACACACACACACACTCACCCCATCCCAAGATCCACACATATAATTACCTTCCTTGTACCTGGAACACTAAATTGCAGCCATATGAGTCCAGGTGACAGGGTGTATGGGCCCCCAGAGAGCCAATCCACAATGTGCTTTCTCGTCCATTTCTTCCAGGAAACCCGAAATCTGACCACCTCACATCCTGTTTTGAAAATAAAATTACAGTCCATCAAGAACCAGCCAACCTCACTATATGGCAGTGGTGCACACTTACTTGAATTCTGGTTTTGGGCACTTGCATAATTGCCTTACAGAAAGTGCTATCTAGATGGAGGAGGTTAGATGCTGCTGCAGCTCCAGAAATCCTTTCAGCCAATCACATGCCTGAACTACCTCACTAAAAGTAGTTATTCAACAAATATTTACCCACTCTCTACAACAACATGGCAGGTTCAGAAACTTGTGATGAATCAATGAACAAAACAGATTAAGGATGCCCACCCAATGGAGGGGAGGGAAGTGCACTGGATTATGGTGATGGCACATGGGTGACTTGGTGATGGGAAACACAGGGGGATTACAATTGCGATGAAAAATAAAATGTACAAAATGATGTAAAAATAAGCCATAAAAAAAAAAAGAATGCCCACCCAAAATAAAACATTTTTAAGGTTGGAGAGAACAAATAATAGACTTACTTATGGAGATATCTAGGGGAAGGTGGGAACTGGGAACAGTGACTACAGTGGAAGTAGAAATATTTAATATATGACTGTAGTTCAACCAGGAAGACAGGACACATCCCCGCTAAGCAGTGCAGTGTGGGTAGCTGGGCCCTTGAGTAACATGAACTTTTTGTACTTTCATGACCACATAAAAGAATCCTTTTAGGTTAGTGGAATTATTTAAAACTATAGATGATGAAGCCTTAGTCATTCCTACCAAGTCAGTCTCAAGGGTAGGATGTCAAATATTTATAGACAACTTTTGCATACTCCCAGAAGTCATGAATTCGTTAAGTAAAATGAACTTGAAAACAGACAGCGCAGAGCTCCGGACCTGGCTCTCCTTACAGTTGGCTCCACAGACCACACGCCAGCCAGCCCCTGAACACAAACACCATCTGCTTCTGTCAAATCCAGCTCTCAGAAACCCCTCAGGAGTCTGGGGGTCGCTGCAGAGTCTCTTCCTTTCGACAAACTGCTCTGCCATATTTTATTTAGTTTGAAGAGGGTCTCCCTGCTTTTTAAAGTTAGAAAATGATATAATTTAACTTAAACCCACACCCATGGAACTAAAAATATGTAGGTTCTGCTTCTCAGTGTTTTTAGACATGAATCTTTCCTACTGAGTTTTAAAAATAAAACAAAGACCACTTCTTTGTGCAGAACATGATCCCAAATGCTGACACTTCTTTTATAAGTATCTTCAATCTATACTTTCTATTTTTAGAGGCAAATCATTAACAATTGTTTGCAAAGACAAAGAGGATTCAGGAGAGGTATTTAATGGATGGTTTTGAAGAAGGCTAGAAAGAGCACTTTTGAGTGATGAAAATAGTATCGGTATGTGTACCGCCTGCCATAAGAAGGGGATGCTTCTGCAAGGGTAGCGCTGCTGTCAACATACAGGGCTCATGTGCAGAAGCTCCAGGGAGGGGCGACAGCCAAGCCCCTTTAGAAGTGGCCATGAATTCCAGTCCGAGCACAGACCTCTATTCCTGCAGCAAACATACCTGGTTTAGAGTCAGTGCTGAAAATCCTGGCTGTTCTGAAGGGAAGGTAGAATCTGTTGACTTACTATGGGTATAGAGACACTTCTGTGCATCTATCACATACCCGGCATGGTGCTGGGTGTTAAGCATATAAACATTAATACTCCGAAACCTACCCCTCAAATAGAGATAGTCTCATAGCAAACCCTGTCAATACGATGTGCCAATAGACAGAAGTGGGCAGAGAAGGTTCTAAGACCCCAGAAGGACATCTCTGGGCCCAAGCAGGAAGCTTAGGGAGGTTTCCAATAAACTTGGTCCTTGTTAAACAACTCACTACACCTCCGTCTGGAATTTTACCTAAAGGCAGCTGAAAGATATGCAGTATAAAAAAGGCAGGGAGAGATTTGCCCATCTGCCTTAGCTAAGAAGCTGGTTAAAGGGATTCTTTTTTTTTTTTTTAAGATTTATTTATTTGTTCATACAGAATTGGGGTACATGCCAGAGGTGCAGGGGAGGTGAGCGGCTTCAACAGAGACAGAGTGGGGAGCAGCGGACGAGTCAGGAGAGGTCTGCCGCACGCTGTGTGGATCACCTCCAAGGTAGGCGGGGATCGAACTCATGTGAAAATGGCTTTAGCTTCTTAGTGCTGTGCTTTCACCTGCTGTGCCACCAGGGAGGGCCCTAAAGGGATTCTTAGTCTTCTTAGTGAAATACCCCTTTGACAATCCAATGAATGCCAACACCTGTCTCCTCCGATAAATGCACCCACATACAGGATTTCACACATATTTGGGAGGAGGTGATGGACAAACCCAAGGTGAGAAGCTGCTCCAAAAAGAGTCACAGAGGGAAGGTTTTTTTTTACAGAGTGTGGGGGGTGAATGAAACCAACAAGAGGTTTTCTGACTTCTCATCTAACATAAGAAATGGCTAAAAAAGAAAAATCATTTTGGAAAGATTACATCAAGGTGATCTAAGCTGCCTAAAATTCAGTTGCAAATTGGCTGAGGAAATCAAAGTGTGCAGGGTTTGGGGGAAGTGGCAGAGAGTAATTCAAAGTAAGTTTGTCAGGAAATAGACAGCATTTAGTGTTCCTATTTCTTGCCTTCACAGGTCCCGAGAGTTGGGACTCTTGCCAAATGAGATCAGCAGTTAATGGATAGGCCAAGTGTCTGAAGTCAGTGCAGGTCCATCAAAAATATGGCTTGAGTCTTGTCAGAAACAAGTGACCCTGTCAGGCTACTACCTTGGTGACTAATTGGGGTGACCCATCCTGTAATCTATTCTCATGTACACTTCCAGAGTTAGAAAAGTCTTCAGAAATCACCTGTACCTTGAAAATTCTATTTGCACCATCCTCAAAAGAGTAACCATGTGTATCATTGACAACTTTCTACAAAATCAAAATCTGCTTTTTTGTAACATACCAGATGCAGACAAGTGTATTTTCTCTTCTGTCCCTCACCTTTATCTTTTTGGCTATTTTACACCTGATTCAGTACCGTAACTATTCCTTTCAGGTGTTCTCATTTCAACTACCTTCACTTTATTAACAGCCCACTGAAAGTTTGGCTACAAGTGTGAATCCCAGACCCAGCCTATGTGCTACCTGGTAAATGGGATTGCA